CATTAATCTACACCGGGAAAACTAGCATGCAACACTAGATAAAGATTATACTAAGTATATAAGCCACATTTCACCAAAATACCCACTCAAAATCAAAACATAAACATAAATTCAGCAAGGTTCCTTCAAAAATCAACACTTATCTCACTTGGATTCAAACAAAAAACTACATGTATGTCAAGATAAAAGAGATCAGAGATATGTAAAGTGCTTTTAAACAAAATTAATCAAAATTCCTAAAAACAAGAACTGAAAACTGTAGTTTTTCCTCTTGATTTGCTGTCCAGAAATTCCAGCCTTTGAAAATGCTTTAAAAGTCGATCTTTTGTTACTTTTAACTTCTCAGATATAACATGCATGACTAGATTTAGGTGTTAGAAAGTATATAGAGGCAAGATGTGTCAATTTACAATCAAAGTTTTAGGGATAAAACTGGAAAAATCCCAACTCTTCCCCTTGGGTTTCAATAGAAAATTCCATCATTACCATTCAAGTTTTTCTCTTTTAGCTTTTAGATTTAGTACACCAAAACTTGACATTACCTGTTAACAAGTCATATCACATGAATTTACAGTAAAATGACAACAAAATTTTGAAATAAGGGCTGTAATTTAACCATGATTCAGGGTTGAAAAATTTTATCCCAAACAGGTTACATGCATGTTGTTTTCAGATTAAAAACTCAACTTCCCTTCTTGATTTATGCATAAATCGTGCAGTATATTATAAGCTGACTATAAAGCATGAATCTCCTAAGAAAATCTCAACAAAAATGGAAGCCACAAGCTGAAAAATACAGCTCATACCCTACGGTTCAAACTGAAAATGTCCAGCAAGCTCTCTTCAATTTTTCTCACCAAAACAGCACCTTTCTTACTTACTTTCAACCATAAATCACACAATAACATATTTATAACATAAGGTAAGGTATTGATCAAGTATTTCCTAGCAAAACTCAACAAAAGTGGCAAATAAAGGCTGAAAATTCACAGCTCAAGTCACTCAGCTCCCTCTTGAAAATTTCAGTAGCCAAAATCCTTACATGCATGCCATATTTTCACCAAGATTCATCTATCAAAAGGATTAAACAATTCCCTAGCAAACTTACAAAAAAAATGAACCAAAAGCTGAAAAGAAACAGCCTTCCCAAGATCGGTTCAAGCTGAAAAATTTCCAGCAACAAACAGATTTCTACTATCGGTTTCCACCTCTATGTATCTTCAAATCAAGCATGCTTCCTCATCTCTCCAAAACATATGAAAAGATTGAAGTTTCTCAGCCATGCTACCTCATTTTTCTGCTACAAATCAAGTTGGAAGTTGGTTCACCTTCCTGATTTCTCCTTGGTTCAAGCAAGCTGGATGGACAGCTTCCTCTCTTGCCTTCACTCTCTATTTTTCTCAGCTAAATGGTTGGTGCAAGACACTGATTTTTCTCTCAACTCTGTCTTGGCTAGAAAATGGAAAGGAGGAGGAAGACTCTCAAGCTCTCTTTCTCTCGGCTGTTTAAAAGGAGAAGAAATGAAGTCGGTTCTCTCATTTCTCTCTCTCTCTCTCTCTCTCTCTCTCTCATGAATGTAAATGGTCAAGACAAGAAAGTGTTGGTTTTAAAACTTTTGTTTTGGTTTGAAAACTTTTGTCTTGGTCAAATTTTTCATGCCATTTGGGAAGGACAGGTGTTATGTGTGTGACAAGTGTTGTCTTGCATGTACAAGGCAATGTTTTATTATATCTATGAGCCATAGATTTTTACACTATTGCACGAATACCCCACTAGTCTCTTGTCTAATTTGTACTACATTCCATGAATGTGAATCATGCATGCATTTAAAATATTCTAATACACTTAAGTATAAGGCAATCAATTAAACACTCCAATTTTTCAATAATAAAGCAAAGTAGCACGTTCAAACTTTCTAGTAATAGTGTTTGCAAATAAGTATAAATTTTTTGGGCTCTCACAGTTATGATGGGCGAGCGATTGTACAATGAGATAAAAGGAATTGAATGGCGCGATCTATGATACTCCATCCCACATTGAAAAATTAAAGTGCTATAAACCAATATATAAGTAGAGGCTGAACACTCAAATTTCACTTGGGATATCCCTTTTGGACTAACAAGGACAGAACCCAAATAGTTGGATTTGGCTACTGAGACTCGATCGCATCTTGGGCCTGCGAGCTTGTAACGTGATTGGATCAATATAAAGATGACTGAGCCAACTTGAGATTTTGATATTATCGCCCCAAACACCAATCTATGTTTTGGTTCTGTCTCAAATTTTGGTATTATCACCACAAATAAAAAAGAATAGAACCATTTGCATGTTTTGGTTCTATCTCAATAAGTTGATAGATTCATGTGTACTATGGAAATTTCTTACTTTCGTCTAGTATTGTCAATTTAATAGCATACTTTAGTCTTTTTTTTTTATTGTGATTGTATAGAATATGTGATTTAATTTTGTCATTTTGATTTTTTTAAGTAAGCATGAAGCTAAATAGTTGTACATGATTTTGTATAGAATTAGTATAAAGAAATTGGAAAAAGACAGTTATTTAAAACCTTCATTTTGAGAATTGCTTTGATATTATATAGAGAAAATTTGTTTTAATCATGTAAATAGACCATTCAGTTATAATTGCGAACAAGTCATATTGAGTTGCTACTAATTCTTTTACCATTAAGAAATACGCTTAAGCTAATAGCTTCTAGGTAAAATTTCAATGAATTTGCATATGCAAGACTTTTTGTTTCTTTCTGAAAGGCTTTCACAAAAATTCTTGTGTAATCAAGAATGAAGTTTTTATTTTGTACATATTAGATCATAAATTAGTAACTGCATCTAATTTCTAAAAAAAAAAAATTCAATTGTGTCAAATTTTCTATTTTTCAAATGGAATATTTATGAAATCTCTATGAATATAAGCAATCCCTATTTCATGGTATTTACATGAGGTTCTTCTTTAAGTTAAAAAAAGTCTCCGATAGGGCTTAGTTGATCCTTCATTCATTTTTCATCTTTTGTTTTCTTTTCATTTTTTCAAGAGATTTTATCATCAATTCCGATGCTTTCTTTTTCTCTTGATTCTTTTTGCTATTTTTGTTGTTACTCCATTATTCATCTCATTAATTAATTGATTGATTGATATACATGCAGATAATGCAACTCACATTTGTTTAGAACCTATTCGCCGACGTATTAATTACCATGAAACAAGTGTCAAATGTGCTCCTATTTTAGAATGCAATGTTAAAGGTTGAAAGATTTTCTTGATATCAACATATTTCTTGAAAACTAATTCTATGGCACGTTGACTGTCTATTTATACATGTAAATTCTCGAGGTTAACTACATTCATACATGAAGATGAAGTTATTACTATGTTACTTCTGTATGCTAACAAAAAGGTAACAAAAACTATAGTTTATGCACCCATTATATATCAATGAATACTACCGCTTCACTAGAAGAGTTTTAGATATCAAGACTTGTACAGTAAGATTCGTTGTTCTACCAGATTTTATTAAAATTTAGATACATTGCATTTGGATTGACTACATGAGAGGTGTTATTCATTGTAGTTAGCAGCCTCTTTTGAGACAATGGGAACTTTGCATCCAAGCCAAAAAAAAAAATACTTTTTTTTGGCAAGTAGCCAAAATAATTGTTACATGAAAAATTCTACAATATATGTAAGGTACTATGAATTTTTCTTTTACTTTAGTTAGATGTATCAAATGTATCAAATCAACATTTTCATCAATTGTATATTGACATAAGAGTTAATTATTTGAGTAACGTTGCGGGTATTTTTAAGTTATTGGATCTTAAGGAAATAAAAATGGACTATTGTATTTTCTGCTGTATTTTTATTTTTTATTATATATATTTTTAAAACTATTGTTTTTATTTTTTATTCAGTTAGTAGTTATTAGATTTTAAGAAAACAAAAAAGAACTAAAATATGATATTTATGAAGGAGAAATAGTAATATAATAAAAATGGGACAGAGAATGGTACAGAAAATGATATGTTGCACGCCGTGATGGAAGCAGAAAATTGAATTCTTTAAGAACCTCTAATGCTAGATTTTTGTCATGTTCTAACTATTAGGATCTATGTCATACTTGAAATAGAAAAAAATAAGTGATTTGAGAAAAAATATCATATTTTACCATCTCAAATTTTGTTTGTTAACAATTCATATTTTTTGATTATGAGTGTTGGAGTTTCAACTTTGAAGAGATCATTTAGGAGTTGAGCAAATCTTGTCTTAATTATCTTAGGTTTCAACTTTAAAATTGTTTAGCGTGCATTTTTTGTTATGTTGTATTTATGCTTCTTATTCTTTTTTTTTTTTTTTGGCTAAGATCTCCATCTTATATGTGTCGAGCAAAAAAAACTAATTGCTATAAAAATACCATATTTTGCACTATTTTTTGGGGTTCAATCACACTCAATACCATTATTACAGTAATCTCTTTTACATTTTATATAATCATTTATAGCCTACTATAGCGAACCTTTACCTTATTATATGTGCATGAATTATTCTTAAGAATATTTCTTCCAATTATTGGTTTAGTACATATTCATTTCGATTCTTGGTTTAGTACATATACATAATATATAATTTTTTAAAAATTAAGTGGCATCAATTGACCCCATTTTATGCCACGTGGCTCAGGCAATTACCATGAGCTAGAACTATACCAAACAATATCCAAATAGCAGCATTAGGTTTTATGAACACAACCAAAGGAACAAAAATTGTGGGTAGTTTTTCTTTAATTTTTGAAGTTAGAGTGAATTTTCATTTTCACAAACAGTCAAAAACAGGCAAAAGTAGCGAAACGGTTGACCTGCCGACCGAAGCAGTCAGTCACCAGTCAATCCATATGACCGGTCAGCTCGCTGCCGTTGGACCAAATTCCCCCTACTTCTTTTGCTACACTACACCCACTTGCTTCTAACGCACGTGCTTCTCACGTCACTCTTGCTAGCGATACAAATACCCCACCGGTTTTCCTCTCAGCAAGATGCTCAGAACTGAATGATTGAATCATGAATTCCATTTCCTCCCATGGCGGCTTTTCCTCCGTTATCCGCCTCAACATCGGTAAGTTCTTCCTCATTTTCCATTTAGATATAATATATAAATATATATATTTATTTATGTATCAGCCAAATTACTTGATCAATCTTGGGAGCAAGCGAGCCCTAATTCTGAATTTTGTTTTTTTATTTACATATTTAATTGTAGGAGGGAAGAAATTTTGCACTACTGTGGATACATTAACTCACCGCGAGCCGGATTCGATGCTCGCTGCAATGTTCAGCGGTCGGCATACTCTAAGCCATGAATCCGACAAGGTATATTTTATTAGCATTTCTTCGTTAGGACCAATTTGAAGCTGTAGATTTTTTTTCGGTGTATTCAATTATCTATTTTCTTCTGCTCTTAGTAATTTAATTGATGTGCTCTTAGTACAGTGATTTGCTTTTCTTGAAGCAAAGGAGGAAATATATTAGTGATTTGTTGATAGTCTGGAGTGAGAATTTTTAGGCTTAGGTTGGAAACTCCTCATATTGTGGAAAATGGTATTGTGGATCTTGTTTTTTTGGGATTTAAGGAGATAGGAATTTTGTTTCTTTTTGCTTTATACTAGTTGCAAGCCCTATCACCCTGCTCTTGGATTCGGTGGGATCCGATGGTCTATGAGATTGCTCTAGGAAGTTTATCATTCTTTGCTGTGTTTGAAGCTGTTTTAGATGAATACTTGATTGGATAATATGTGCAGTAAGTAAATTTGTATCTAGCCATTTTTTATGGCTTAGAAGTCACACCACAAATGGTATTTTCTCTAGGGACGAGATTATTTTTTACCCCAGTTTTCTTTCAAGCCACTTACAGATACAGTTATGGAGCCACCTTGGTGTGAGGGTGGGCAATTGCCCCCTCAACTTTGCAAAAATCACAAAATATGCTTGAAAACTTTATAAAATTTTAGGTTTCTCTCACTATTGCCCACCCTTAATTTTAAAACATGCCCTTATCTCTTGAACTTGCCCCCCTATAATTTGGAAACTAGTCATCTCTAAACAGCCAATTTATTTCTTTTAGGTATCTCTTCTACGGTCCAATTATTTCAAAGCTATTAATTAAGCTACATTTAATTACCATTTGAATGAGAAAAATTATAGGAAGTGGAACAAGAAGCCAAATTTTTTTTTAATTCCATTTTAAGTGTACAATCTTGCCCCCACTGAGCCAAAGTCCTGGCTTCACCATTGGTACTATAAATACAGTTGCACACGATGTTCCACATTCTGAAGGCATGACTGTCAAAGCTAGTTCCATTTTTTCCCCCATGTATTGTAGTTATGAACTCATCTGTTATGTTATGAATTAAGTTGTTGTTTCTTTAGTGTTATGACTTACTAAAGCCCTTGATAGTTCAATTTGGGAACTATCTAATAGAAATTAACAGCAGAGAATTCTTTTTAATCTTTGGGCTGGAGTCAAAAGAGTAGACGCTTCTTCTTTTGGTAACTTAAGTTTAAACTATTTTCTTTCACTCAATGTGCTGCAGGGATATGTTTTTGTGGATAGGGATGGAAAACATTTTCGGCATATTTTGAATTGGTTGAGGGATGGTGCTGTCCCAATGCTGAAAGATTCTGAATATTTAGAGCTTTTGCGAGAGGCGGAATATTACCAACTTCTTGTGAGTCATTCTGTTGGATTAATTTGCTTGTTTGATGGAGAACAACTTACATACCATTTGTGTCTGCATTGCCTTTTGAATGCAGAAAGATAAAGTTCTTGTTTCCTCTGCCTTTCTCTAGGTTTCTGGCTGTACTATTTGATACCTTTTGGAAAATATTTTGGTGGGTTAGGTTTAGAAGTTGTTTTCTATCTGTGTATTTAGAAATCAGTTCCTGTGCTTTGAATTTTTAGGTTTCTAAATCATCTCCTCTCACACTAGAACAAAATCGCTAGAACAAAATTGATTGCTCTATTCCCTCTAAATGTATGGCAAATTTGTGTCGGAACTTCTCTGTCTGTCTGTCTGACTCTCTTTCATTGGAACTTCGTACTTGAATATCAATTAACATCTGATTCTATGTTTTTCAACTGGTAAACATGCTGTTATGGATAACTTCATCCTCTGAAGAAGATGCTCTTATCTCCTCTGTCATATGATTAACTACAGGGACTGATAGATGGAATTAAAATTGCTCTAAGTAAGAAGAAGGAGGAGGAGGAATTGGGTACGGAATTGACTCGCATTGATATAATCAAATGCATACAGTCCGAGAGAGTTAGATTCCGAGGAGTTAATCTTTCTGGTCTCGATCTTTCTAAGCTGGTAAGAATTTGCAACTCTTGTATACCTGCTCGTTGTAATGTAATGTGTATTTCATCTGTAGTATAATCTTATTGATCGGTAAGATTAATAGGTTTACCATAGAAATATTTTCTAGATGTAAATGATTGAATTAAAGGGAACATGAAGAAAAATGCCTGGAAAAGTTTGTAATGCATTAAGCATCCAGCATAACTTTTTCAAGGACCTCTGACTATTAGTTGTAATTATGTCCTACCTTCATTTATTCTAGATGTCTTACCTCTGACTTTTTCAAGCATCCAGAGTATGCTTCATTATTCATTTCTAGTTTATGATTGTGGTCTCCTGGGTGGGGATGCTGGGTCTTTGATGTTTTCAGGACCTGTCATATGTGGACTTCGGCTATGCATGTCTTAAAAATGTATTCTTTTCACGTGCAAATCTCCACTGTGCAAAATTCAGGGTAAGCATTCTTTTTCTCTTCTCCCACTCGTATTGGTTTTTGCCTTCTAGAATTTACTGTTCATCAAATACATGTTTATGTTTATCCTGTAAATTAAAGTTTTTTATTTATATCACATGTAAAAAATTGGACTCTTAAGATTCTGAATTGCTTTTTTACCTTTATGATTTGGTCTTTAGATCGTTTTGTTGTTTCTTAGTAAAAATGTTGGTCATATGGGTTTTAAGGTTCTGTTTGTCAGAGACGATTATTTTCTGATTGCTTTATATTCCTTATGTGAATTTTTGTTTCCTATACTACAGGTAATATTTTTCATCTTTATTACAGGATGTGGATGCTGAGGCTTCCATTTTTCACAATGCAACTTTGCGTGAGTAAGGTTTTCATGTTGATTTTCTTTGCATCATTTTTTTGTTTTCTTTGGGTATATGACTAAGTAGAATAATTTTCTGAACATTTATTTGAGGTTCTAAGTAAAGTGTCTGCCGTCAGTTTGTGTCTATTCTTTATCCTTTCAAGTACATTTATGTATTTTGACACACCTGAGAAAAATCTTGTTTTGCCTAGGGAAGATGCGAATTTACTGGAGCCAACCTTCGTGGAGCTTTATTAGCAGGTGCCAATCTTCAAAGTGCAAACTTACAAGGTAATTTGTTGCTTCTTGTTTGCAATTACAGGATATAAATACCTTCTTTAACAAATCCTGTCACCATGTTTCTCAATAACTGTTGTAGACTTGGTGTTCCTTCCTTGGAAGGCACCACTGATGACATAACGTGCATGGGATTCCTGGCACTCTTGCAATCATTAGTCGATATAGTCTTTCTGGCAACTGGTAGATAAGTAACATAATATGCCCATTCTTATAAGCGAAGCCTCTTTTACTTTTAGCGCATACAAAGGATATGACTTGTATGATGTAACAAGCAATCTGACATGATGATATGATGTTTTTCTTTTGCTAATAATTTGAACTTAGGGAGGGGACTGCAATATTCTTTCTGATGCAGTCTGGGCCATAACATAGGTCCTCAACAATTATAACTTCACAAGCCACCAACCAAAGCAGCTGCAATATGTAGATAAGTTATTGGCAAAAAGTATTCTGGTTACTTTAAACAAAAATATTTGCACTAGAAATCTGTGTTGTCTTAGAAATTTTGTGATCAAAGGAGTCTATCCTCCATGTACGATATCTTTTGGATCTTTGAGCAATTGTCTAATATAAGAAGTCTAAGCATAGCAACTGTGTGATCTAAAAAATCTAAAGGTCCTCATTTTATGAACCCTAGAGATCTGCATTTGAGGCAACCTTGTTGTTCATAAATATGGTCATGGTAAAGGTCCTCATCATTTAAAGTTTTGCTTATCTTTTTTATTCCCCCTCTTCTCACTGCAGTTGATCTTTGCTAGTTTCAAAATAATAAGATAGAATGAAGGAATGGTGGCTAGCTGTTTAAGCAAAAGAAAAAAAATAAACAGGAAACCTTAAGAGATATTAGCTGTTTGCTTAACAGAGGAGATGAAGGTAATGTATCAAATACATTTACAAGAAGCAAAGAAAGAAAGAAAGTAGAGTATGAACGTAAAAGTGAATTTGAGTGCAGCCACATGTATGTTCACTATGATTGAAAAAGGGAAATGAGATATTTTGAGGGAGAAAGAAGTTACAAGTAGATGCTATTTTAGCATTTGTGTCTTGTTGACTGACTGGTTACTTGGAAATCAGAACATGACAAGGAAATGATGTCATTTCAGACATTATGAGAAACAGTTCTTATAACAGTTCATTCAGTTAGGATGCTTTTTTCAACTTGCTAGTAGGCTACAGTTTCATTAAACTTTGATTCTCTCTCTTTCTGTTAGTGTTTAATTGAATAAAACAAGCATGGTTAAATTGCATTATACTTGACCTATGGCCTGCTTTATTTCCACATGGAAATAGGTCTTACACTTATAATGCTAGTGGACAAGATAGGAAAGATCTTGCCTATTAGTGCTAGTTGAAGAATGGGAGGATCTTGGGGCTGTTGCAGGGTTGTGAAGAGTACCCCTGAACTGTTGTGGGCGGAAAGAGGGAAAACAGAACAAAGCAACTGCTAAAGAAAAAATTTAATTCATTATTCATTCATCTCTCTACCTAGAATGTCACAGGAACACGTATTTTTAAGCTATAAACTTTTATAGAAAGAAATAGAACTCCTAGTTTCTGTTCTAAGTAGGAAAGCAAGCTAGTTGTAGAACTTCTCTAACATTTACTACCCCATCTAGTTACCTAGTATAATAAATAACAAAAAAAAAAAGACAAAATGGCATAGTTGCTGGAAATTTCCTGAGAACAAGTATAAGACCAAAATAGAGCAAATTATTCGGATGGCCATTGAACTTTTGGAATCCTCGAGTTTGGCCACTGAACTTTTAAAAGTCTGGTTTTGGCATTGAACTATCTAAAGTTTAGATTTCGGGTCATTTCGTCAGATTTAGTCGTTAACTATGCCCCTTTTGTCTTGTGAATAGTGCCAGCAGTCAGATCTGTCATATTTAATGTTTAAATTTGACGGAATGCCCTGAAATCTAAACTTTAGATAGTTCAGTGGTCAAAACCAGACTTTTAATAGTTCATTGATCAAAACTCAATGATTCCAAAAGTTTGGTGGCCATCCAGAAAATTTCTCACCAAAATACCCCTTAAGACCTAAAATTGTAGAAAGTTTTAAACCTAAGAAAATAAAACCACATTGAAACTTAAGGACACTTAAAGGATGTATTTTTGCTGCCAATTAGGCTGTTAATCTTTAAGGGATGCTTAGAATATCGTGAAAATCTTTTACTTTTAGAATTCCTTGAACCCTTGGTTGATTACATAACTATCTTCTTTTTGTTTGTCTGCCCTTGTAACTGCATCTAAGTAAAGCATCATTTTTATATTATTTATGATCATTCTTGCAGATGCATGCTTGGTAGATTGTAGCTTTTGTGGGGCAGATCTGCGATCAGCGCACTTACAGGTGAAATATTCTCAAGTTTAACTGGACTGCTCTCATTCATGTTTTCTTGTTTCCTCAGTGCATCTGTCAAACATATTTTCATGAAACAAATTTGCCATTTGCCTCAGTGCATCTGTCAAGCACATTTTCATGAAATAAAATTCCCATTTGCCGTTCCTCTTCCTTTGGAATTCTTTGCAGCTGTTGTATTACAATAAATTATGTTTCACACACATGCAGTGATGCACAATATACATGAAGATTTGTTGTGCCTGGCACATATTGCATTGCTTTGATCTTTGAAATTTATGGTAAAGGAATACAATGTTTTCTAAGGGCATTAAGCATAACATGGATGAGATAAAATTTAAAGTTTGCAACTGTGTAATGTCATCTTTGGGAAAATAGTTTTTTATGGCATGTAAACATAGTATTGTGATTTAAACAAAATGGATTAGAGTGAGGGTAAGATTACTTACCTGTGTTTCCCCTAAAGGGAAATGGATAGTTTGAGTGAATATGAAATCAAATTCGTCCAGTAAATTGGGATAGATAGCTGGAACTGCTGAAGATTACATCCTGGAGGAAAACTTGTGGAGGTTAATCTGAAAGATTTCATACTTAATGTTATACCCCTCTTTGCTCTCTCTGCTTGCTATGGCTGACTTGAAATCTGAACTCAGGTATTTAAATGTTAAGTCACAGAATAGCTGCACATTCATAGAAAGGTGACAGTCCCACAATATTGATGAACTAATTCAGTTAAAGTTGTCAAGATGTAGTACTAAATGCTTAGCAAAATGCTGAACAAATACTTCAGACCGTTATTGTACGTCCACTTTCACAAGAGAAGTTTCATGAAGGTTTTAGCTTCTACTCTGCCTGAGGTTCATTCTAAATAATGCTGCTAAAATTTTGAGACAATGGCTAATTGTAACTTTGAGAACTTTATAGCATTTTAATCTTTAATGAGTTTTTCATGCAAACTATGATGTAGTGATGGAATTTGTATGTAGAAACTTTTCTGTCCAGCATGATGAAACCAAAGCTTTTGAGAGCATCTTGGTATTTTGTTGTAATTGTGATAAAACTTGAATAAATCTAGAACATTTTATTTAGGACAAATAACTATTGATTTTGTGTTTGGACCGGGTTCTTCTAAGTGTTGTATTTGTAACCAAAGGCTATTTTTGCATAAATAATTTAAAGAAAAGGAAAACCTTAAAGTGCCTTTGGCCCTATTGGACTTAGCTTCTCATTGATGGAAGTCCATTTTCAAGATACTTTTTAAATTGTACCTCGCAAATTAGCTTTTAGAAGATATGTAGCATTTGTTGAATATGCATGTCGTAAGTGCTTTTAATCTAAAGTTTCACTTATTAGGCAAATCCTGTTATGGTCAAACAACTTGAGGACAACAAAATGACTTGTTTGACACTATATATTGCCCTTGCTTATCATTTGTCATTATGCTAAAACCTCAATATTTTTTTTATCAAGAACCTGGGTAATTGCTTAAATGGTGGTAGATTGTTCTTCGTTTAAAACATAAAAATTTAAAAGTTTGTCCTTTATTCTTAGCAATCTTCTGAAATCAACTGGAATTTGGAGTGTCAGTTTTTTATATCAATCCATACGTTTTGATACATTGATACATTTAAACAGAAGTGCGCATATATTTTAGGATATTTGCAATTGCTTAACTTGTAACAGGAATCTAGGAATTTTTGGATTTTGGAGCATGAATTCATTCGATATTTTGGGAGATGGAGGATTGATTCTAGGTTTGAGTTAGCTTTATGATGTTGAGAGGAAAGTACTTGCATCTGTTTGGTGGGATTAGAAACAGAGATGAGCTGCATGGGTAGTGGTGCCACTGCCTTCATGTTTCATTTGAACACTACAATGTTGTTTCTGTTAATTTTATCACTAAATGTAAATGATGTCAACGTCCAAAAATTAGTAGAGAATGTGAGGTTAATTGGAAGATGGAATAAGTGGTGGTGGTGTTTGGTGGCTGTCCATCTTTATTTTGAGTTGCAAAATGTGCTAGGATTTATGGGAGGAGAAATAAGAAGGGGAAGAAAGAAGAATCGGAAAAATAAAAAATAGGAATAAGAACAAAAGAAGAAATCCATTGAACTGATAAAAATACAATACCTCTGAAAGAAATTGTGCAACTCACATGAGGTACTTTATATTAAACTTAGTGGAGATATGCGGTGGAATAAACATACAAAAGTTAAATGATCAAATTGAGTCTAAGCAACTCACATGAGTGTTTTTTTTTTTTTGAACTTAGTGGAGATATGTATGGAATGGGTGAAAATATTAAACAAACAAAAAATGATCAAATTGAGTCTAAAAGTAATTGAGAAACTAAAATGAGACATATGAAGAAGTTTAAACTGGCCATCTTGTGCACTTTGCCCTATTAGATATTAAAAGAACATCAATGTTGAATTGGATATTTGACTTTTATTCAAGTGGAGTCTGGGATATGTTTGGACGTCCCCAGGAAGTCGATTCTAGGGAAGGCATCTCTAATTGGTGAATTGACTTTCTTCGTAGTGCATGTAAATTAACCACCAAATTCTTAAAAATTTTCCAACTGGTATTCCATATTGAATGGGATGCTAGGGAGGCAGTTTATCATTTCACATCATGAAACCTTGCATTGAATATTTGTGCCACTTTGGCTAATAAGTTTCAAAATCTTAATTGCCTTTTTTCTTTTAATGCCTAGAATTTTAAGATTTTTTTAATAAAAACATGTATAAATGGAAATACATTATCTGGAACAAGGGTTATTTATCAAAGATTGGCTTTCTTATTCAAAATTTAAATAGTATTGCTGTTTTGAAATTACTTCCAAGGATACATAAGTCGATTTTGAAAATAGAATTTAAAGTTGATTTTGTCTGTGTTTGTTCCCAATATTTGCTTGTTCTGAATGTTTTCTTGATGAAATCATTGCGACTACTTTCCTGTCCTTCACATTTTGGGCTGGGCAAACTAGTTTTCTTGAAAATGTTTGTGAACACAAGGGCTGTAATAAGAGAGAGACAAATTGGTGTGATCCAGACATACAAGACTAACAAATTGAAGCCTGAGAAGGTATAATATTGATAATGAGAGCTTCAAATCATAATCACCCCTTCATTGGTACTTACAAGTAATATGGCTTAGGTAATATGTAAAAGAGTATTGGGAGTTTTTGGAGAGTGGTTGTTGTTGTTGTCTGATCGGTGGTATTGCCTTTAAAGTGAAAGGAGGCCAGAGGTAATTAATTCTCAATTGAGGAACAAGAAGGGAAATAGAGAAGAAATTGAGGGGGAAATTGCAGTGGGTCTGAGGAAGGAGAAATTTGGAGTATTTTGAGTAAAGGGAAGGAAGAAGATATGTAATCTTAGTACAGTAGTTGATTTCTTGAATATCGACTTTGAAGGAGATTGAGAAAAAGTCAACTTTAAAGTCAATTATTAGGACATCGACTTCTATTCTTTGGGAAGCCAGTTGAGAACATCAATGTATTTCTAGTTTCTTTTTTAATTAAAAAGCAATATTCACAGTAACCCTTAAAATGAACATATTTTGGAGACAAAGACCAATTGGGGATGTGCAAAATAATTGTAAGTTATGTGTGTGTATATTGTACAAAAGGATCTCATGATGGATAGAAAAGTCGACACTGCTGGTTATCATAGTTGTCCAAGCAAGGAAAAGGGATATAATGGAAAAATTGAACAGCACATTGGTTTCTCTTTTATGTGGACTTGCCCTTTTCTTGATTCCCATCTTTTGCTAAACTTGCTTCTCGACTTTGCTTGCTTTAAATTGTCAGACGGCTGATCTTACAAATGCTAACTTGGAAGGAGCTAATCTGGAAGGAGCCAATCTAAAGGTAAGTGGTGCCTTTTGTTGTTTGTCAATGCTTATAAGAGTACCAATTTTCTTTCTTTCTTTTTTAATTATTTGGCAATTTTCATATGAATGTACAGATTGTTTATTTGTGTGCTTCCAGGGTTAGTGAGTGTCTGAAGTTGGGTTTAGTGATTTCATTTTAAGTTGAGAATGGTATTTGTTGTCTTCAATTACATGATCTTGGTTTTAAATGGATATTCTACACTTCATTATGTATACTATCTAAATACTAGTTTGAAGTAGGTTGTTTATTGTTAGTAGTTTTGTACTTCAGTCTTTAAATTGGACTTTTCTGTTTGTCTTGGCACATGTTTTTAGGTGAGGATTGAATTAATATACTAGTAGTTTGGGTGGGACAAAGTGGACAGCCTGGAGGACAGTTCGTTTCTTTATCATCTTTTACATATGACAAATTGATAGTAGGTCTCAAATCATTTTCGTAGAGCTTTTGCATGAACTTAACAACTGGGTGCCAGAAAGAATTATTCCATAATGTGCATCTCTCGTTGAACATTGCAGGAAAATAGGGTCTTAGCTCAGCCCTCGTATGCTTTCCCCTTTCCCACTAAGCAATTTTTGATGATTAAAGAAGAGGAATATTCTCATCATGTCATTGGTTGTATAATTTTGAAATTATGTGTAGTGTTGTTCTTCTGTTATTCATTGGACTGCCCTGTGTTATTAGTGGTGGGAGACGGTTATTAAGCATTGTTCCATTTTGAGGAGTGTATTGTCATTGGAACCTGGTGCTCTCCTTGTTTGGGCTTTAGAATACCAGCACCAGTTCTTATTACCCAAATCATATAAAAGATATCACTTGGCAGTGGGTGAGGTCACTTAGCAGCCATCAGACCTTGATAAGTTTTTGCATCAAATAACTTTTATCGCCATTGTAATACAGCCTTTTTTCTGATCATTTTCTATATTGTACATTATTTTACTTTTATAATCTACTGTCTATTGACAAGGAACAGAAAGGAATGAATGAGAAAAAATGGGCTGCTATAATTTCACCGGTAGTATTGCTTTTGCATTTTCTTTCTAGTTGTGCACTTGAAGCATGTTCCTGGTTGCTGAATTATATGCTGGTTTACCCAACTGAACGTCCTGTACTCTTATGAAACTTGTTGCCCAAGTGCTATTTCTTATGAGATGCAAGATTATAGTGCCTGCTGCCTCTTAATTTGTGTGGCCTTACAATGCTATCAATTGGACATCCAGATAACTATAAATTGGTGTATTTGATTTTAAACTTCAATAGTGATGTTTGATTGTTGCACATTCAGAGCCACTGGTGATTGTATCCACATTCTTTTTTGTCTCTTTGTTTCTTTTGTCTAGCTACTTGGGTTACCTCTAACTCAGCCCCTCTATTCTCCTCCATCCAGGGTGCAAAGTTAACTAATGCCAATTTGAAGGGTGCCAATCTCCAGAGAGCTTATCTTCGGCATGTGAATCTTCGTGAGACAGTAAGTAAAAGTTGTCCATGCATTTCCTTCTTTTTAACTCATGTTTATAAAGCGAATGTAGGTACCTACCATAACAAAGCTGTTGCCAGTCTTTTCAATATAGTATTTTTATCCTTCATTCATAGTGTATCTGTATTGGAGTACATGGAGATTATTTGTGTTTGATATGCTAGCTTTAGTTCTCTCTGGTGTGTGGTGTTAGTTTCTTGAGGGGGAGAGGGAGGGGATTTTGGGTCAATTTTTTGTTCTTTTAAAAGCTTTTATTCCTGCATGGGAAAAATATAAAAGCAAAACTACTGAAAAGGCTTAAGATTCAAATCTGAAATTGTGTTGCTATTGCAAAATATTCTTATGTAAAAGGACAAATGAATATTCGTGAAGTAGTACAACATATTTTACAATTCCAGCTTGCATTGCTTAGAATAAGAACTATTGGATCTTAACAAAATGATGAGGGAGCAGGGTCTCGATTAGTTCAGGCTATTGTATGACATAATATTTGGACTTTACCATCTTGGTGCTGGTTGCAAACACTTCTATTGTCCCTGTTGTTTTACCCTTCCTCTCTGTTCTCCAAAGAGATGGAAAAATGAAAAGAAGATGACAACCAAAATTTATATAAAAAAAAAAACTCCTCCATCCCAATCTGTATTGTGCTTCTACAGAAATGTACTTAACATGCATCTATGCTGAACTTATTGAGAAGATTGCACGGTCCCATGGTATGAAATAGAACCTTTTTGGCCAACTATATGAGGGGTAAATGAGGGAGTCAGATTTAAGTTGTTTGCTATTTTGGGTAGGTACCAGAATTTTGGGACAACTGAGAATAAAAGCATGACAGTTTCAATGGGACAGAGAGTTCAAAAAAGTGGGGGAAGGGAAAACCTATCCTGCTCTGGAAAGATGCTTGCTTCTTACTCCAAATGGAACTTGTTCATAATAAATAGGATGTTGAACGACCCTTTCCAGCTATTTTTCTGGTTTGTCTTCATATGAGGCAACAAAGCTGTTTTGAAGTTTTGCTCAAAGTTTATGTATTTTATTTTTCATTTTTTTAATGGAAGCTAGGCTCAAAGAATGTAGACATTGGAAGCCGCCATTTTCTTGTCATTTTAGTGGTTATATTCTGTTTATTTGATATCATGGAAAAGAACTTGAGATTGTGTAAGCTGGTCATTTAATTTTCTTTTCAGCAGTTTTAAGCTTTGCAATTGTCAAGATGTTGTCTTGCAAGAAAAGAAATTAAATACAATCAAAATCATTTCAGTCATGCATTGATGAAGTTAGTAATGTGTTCTGACAAACAAGTCATTGTTTAGATCATTATTGTCAGATGCTAAGCTATTTTGGTTTCCAAAAAGGAAAAGCCGGAGCTGCATTGTATCATTCTTTGATTATACATTATGCCCCTATTCGCTTCTCTCTCTCTCTCTCACTCTCTTGCACACATGCGCGCGCACACAGATGCAACATATGCATGCACAAATGCACACAGAGACCCCACATGAACACATAATGTAGTCTACATTTTGTTAGACAGATTCTGAGCATCTGGAATTGCTCTCACTCTGAATCCCACCTCTTCCCCTCCCCTCAAGTGCTTGCACCAAATAAAACATCATTTCGGGAAAAGAGCTTTTTCGAATAAAGCTACAAGGCTTGTTGTAACAGGAATTTAGTGCAGTTTGTCACAGGATGAACATCATAGACAAATTTGTTTTGCTTGTTAATATTTATTAACTTCTTGATTCAGCTAGTTCCTATGAACATTTACTAGCTCACTGCTTCATTCACTATGGAATATGTATATCTTATTTGACTGAATTAACTATCTTGATGCTCACAGCAATTGGAAGGTGCAAAGCTTGATGGTGCCAATTTGCTGGGAACAATCAGGTGATGAACAGATGTACAACATGGTGGGCATGTAAGGCATCCGTCCGGCTATATGTAATATATATATATATATATATCTATTTCTGTGTTATTTTAATTTGCCAATCCAGGATCTTTACTGGCGATGTTGGAAATGGAAGTAGAGACATAAGGATCCTAGCTTATCTATTTGTTCAGCAACCATACGATGCCCTTAGTTGTGCTTGATTTATTACTTGATCAAAATATGTGCGAAAACGTTTTCCATTTATGAGGAGTCTCAGCAAACTGTTTTAGAGATTGTCAAAGTTTCAGTATCATGCAGAAGACCGTCTGGTGCTTGGTACTTGTTCCATAACATTTCTTTTTCTTCCTATATGAGAATATGTTCTCGTCTGCTGTTTCCAAAGTAGAAGGAAGGGTAAAAAAATAAGAAGAGGAATCTATGCCTTTTTTCCATTCGAACAAATGCCGTGTACCAAAGTTCTTAAGCTGAGAGTGCACTGCGTACTATGTGCACTGAACTCTGGTAATGGCTTAAGGACTATGATATATGGTCTCAGCTATTAGCATCCTATTCGAATTTTGAGGTGGTAATCTCATTGAATTGAACCCGGAGGTGCATGGATGAGTGGTGATTTATTGTGACCCGACTTGTTAACATAGAACCTGTACTAGGTTAAGGATTAGATTTGGTAAGAAATTAGTTGACACAATCAAGGCATCTGATAAACTTAATTTTAGTTGGATGTTGCATAACAAATGCAATAGATCTTTTGTATCACTTCCTGTGCCACTTTCTGTCCCATTTTTTATTATATTACTATTTCTTCTTCAAAAATATCATGTTTTAATTCTTTTTTATTTCCTTAAGATCTAATAACTATTAACTGAGAAGGATATGGCAATAAAAGATTTGTAAAGATCAGTTGCTTCTTTCAAGGTACAGTGAAACCTCCATAAAATAAGACAGGATAAATTAATAACCTTTATTAAATAATAGTTTTTCCTAGTCCCAATTTGGGCTAACGAGCTAAATTAATAATTTTGATAAAAAATAAAATAATAAATTTTCGGAAAACTTTATATAGTCCTTTGGTCCGGTTCATATAATAAATAAATAATTTACTAAAATTACATATTATAATTTTCTAAAATATGAGTTGATTGTTGTTTGTTCTTTTCTTAAACTAAATCTAACGTAAAGCATTATGTGTGTAAGTATAATAGAAAACATTCCACGTGCATATTGACATCTATCTTTTTGATATCTATCATTTAGTATTCCTAAATCTTTTTGACATCTTGATAACAGGAAAGTGTTATCAATTACAACATAATTGAAGATATTGATAGAATTAAATTATATTTATAAATGAAGCAGATATGGATTGGCTTATATTCCTTAGATAGAATTTTAAGTCCACTCAATAAGTTAATAAATTATTAATTTATCGATTAATTAATATCTCTTTAAATTAATAGAATTTGTATGGTCTCAAGAATATTAATTTATAGAGGTTTTAAGGTAATTTGATGGGGAGATTAGCCATTAGATTGATGCAAGATAAGTGCTAAATTACCAGTTAGTGAGGTTTTCAAATCTTTCCTAAGTCAATCTGAATTCTCCAGTATTATTTTTTTTTTTTGTCAAATGAATTCTCCATTAAGTTGGTTAGATCCAACTCTAGCTTGCGACTATAGCCAGAAAAATCCCTTGGCTGCTGTTGTTTTGGTTGACTGTCAAAAATGGCTTTAGGGTTTTGACAGTTAAATGATGGAAAGAATGGAGGTTTAGAGTCATTGAATTAGGTTCCGTTGGGATTGCATTATCTGGATTAGTTTTTGGCAACATAGTACTATCTGGATTAAAATCTAGAACCTCTAATTCTTGAAGCCCATGGTATAGTCCATAAAGCTCATTTCATATATATTCTTTTAGAGTTCATTTGATTTTATTGAAACTTATTTAGATTTGAAGGAAATTGTGATCTTGAGCAAAAAGGCTGGACAACTAAGTTAGGTATTAATAGCTGGGAAAAATTGAAACTTCACAAAGTGTCCATGAGCTTTTTACAACTACCTATCAGTATACGAAGGTGAAACATTAACTTGTAAGTCCACATTTTAATAATTAATAACAGTTTTTTCTTATACATATTTATCTTGTTTTATAGCATTATACCTAAAATGTTGTTGTTCTATGTATCATATTTCATATCTTAAAAGATAATTTCTTGTATGTAAAACATCGGTGACGAGTGTTATGTACTCAACTCGTGGGGTAAGCGAGGGGAGGGAGTGGAAGTGAGAGAACTCAGGTTTAAGACTTTGGACTTATTAAAAAAAAAAAGAAAATTCATGGGGTAAGCAATTTATCTCGCCCCTTTCCTTTAAAATAGGAATGGCATTTATCTTTTGAAAATGGCTATTTTGAGAAATGACTATAAAATAATATCAAGAACAGGTGAAGAATGTGTGCAATCATGTCTATCAAGAATGCTTAATTCATGCAAAAGGTAAGTCAAAAGAAATTACTGTAAATTTTTGTTGAATAAGAAAATATGCTATGATCCTTGCGATTACGTTCAGGCATATATATGTTTCCCGTCTCTTTTAAGCATTACTTGGCAATAATACATAAACAAATAAATCTTGCAATAAAAGGAAATAGAAACCTAATTACAACTCATAAAATGACAAATATAACTTACCTAACTTCCAAAATGTAAAATTTTTCAGACCAAAGAGTTGAGAATTAAGGTAAATTCAAATTTTAAAGGAATTTAGTGAAAAATGAATGAGACGGAGAGAGTATAAAACTTCTCGTTAAATCTTGTGCTTTCAGGACAAATTATGCTACCCTAAAATTTCAATCATAATTCACCTATATCACACCCTGGTTGAACAATTCTTGTGCATTATTGGTCTATATGTAATGGTAGCTTCAAAAGTTGCATTATTCTTGTATAAGATACAAAGTTTTGATACACATAATACAATCACTTAAACAGCAGTTCGCCTAATTTGATCTTTTGATCAAAAGTTACATCCAATTTGCCAAATTTCTACAAGAAAAGTCTTTGATGGATAATGCTTTGACTTTAATTGACCCCTAGTAAGGAAAAAGTAATATCTTCAAGCCAACCATGATTATCATTCATAAGGTGAATCACATCCATAGGTCCTTTTTTTTGTCCTTACATTTTATCTTTCCCTTCTTTTTGGGCTTTTAGCGTTTAATAAGGTGGGGAAGTGGTTTTATTGGTCTCAAATCAAGCCACTAACCTTACCAATTGGACATTCAAGCACCCTTTAAGATGGTGAAGAGGAGGTGGAATGCAGTTAAGAGTTGTGTGCCACAGGCTGTGTAAATAAATATGGTCGGCATGGGATTGTTGTTTCAAGGATTTACAAGTGTCCGACCTTCCAAATCTGTTCTATTCTTCTAACCCCAGTTCTTACAATATTCTGAATAATTTGTAGCAGTTGACTATGTTTTTAGTCATTAGAAACATAAAATTCATTCCCCCCCCCCCCCTCCCTAAAAAGAAAGAAAGAAAGAAAGAAAGTCGCAATGTACAGCCTCAAGAGAAAAAGTTAAAATTGATTGCTAGTGATCATGGCTATAAATTTTGGATAAATGCTTCCTATATTGTTAGAGTAAATCATTTTTGACACTAGCCAGTTTAGATTCTTGACGCTTGAATTTTTTACACTAAAAGTGCATCAAACACTAACCCGTGAAACTATTTTATCCAAACAAATGTTGTGTTGGAGACAAAACAGGAGCCACCATGTTAAACCGTTTTTAATATATGGTAGCCATTAAATGGGGCAGTCAGCCAATTTGAGAACTGTATAACAAATTTTGCCCAATTTTTTTTCGAAACGGATCTTCTGTCCCATATTCCCTGTGTCATTCTCTGTCTCATTTTTTATTATATTACTATTTCTCCTACATAAACACCATATTTTAGTTCTTTTTTGTTTCCTTAAGATCCAATAATTATTAACTGAATAATATACAAAATTTAACAAAGTCAAAAAATCAAAATGCATAAAAAATGAGATTTTTTAATGAATTTTCTGCTGTATTTTTTAATTTTCTATTATATATTGCTTTTTTGAAACTGTTGTATTTATTTTGTATTCAATTAATAGTTATTGGATCTTAAGGAAACAAAAAAAGAATTAAAACATGGTGTTTATGTAGGAGAAATAGCAATATAATAAAAAATGGGACAGAGAATGGCATAGGGTGTGAGACAGAAGATCCGTTGCGATTTTTTTGCCTTATTAATAGAATTAGATTTCAAGCTAATAAAATTTAGACAGCAACGGATCTTCTGTCCCACACCCTGTGTCACTTTCTGTCTCATTTTTTATTATATTGTTATTTTTCCTACATAAACATCATGTTTAAGTTCTTTTTTGTTTCCTTAAGATTCAATAACTGTTAATTGAGTAAAAAATAAATACAGCAGTTTTAAAAAAGCAATATATAATAGAAAATTAAAAAATATAGCAAAAAATTCATAAAAAATCTCATTTTTTATGCATTTTGATTTTTTGAGTTTGTTAAATTTTGTGTATTACTCAATTAATAGTTATTGGGTCTTAAGGAAACAAAAAAGAACTAAAACATGATATTTATGTATGAGAAATAGCAATATAATAAAAAATGAGACAAAGAGTGGCATAGGGTGTGGGACAGAAGATCCGTTGCGAATTTAGACCTACTCAGGTATATCTCGAGTTATTTTACTAAAATGCATCCATATCTAATTAATTAATTTCCAATTTTGAGCCAGACTGTCACAAAAATAGTAAGACTTTGCGTCGTCACTCTTATCCGTGACCTGCTGAGAAAGAAGAAAAACATTCAACTTCTCATCTGACTTTGGGCTGGCACATTGACTTAAACTTTAAATGCAAGTACTACAAATCCCTATAGGAAATGCCAGATGACTGACTAGCAATGGATGAATAAAAGCCTTCTTTTCCTAACTTTAGTCCCCTTTTATTAAACTTTCACATGTTCATCATCAAGTCAGCCTGTTTGAGGCTTTAACAAAAGTCACCCCTCCAAGCAAATTTACACACACAAACACACACAGAGACACCCCACATGCATAAAAGAGAGAGATAGAGGAAGAGAGAAAGAAAGAAAGAAAGAAAGAGAGATAAGAGGGATATGGGAAGACCTCCTTGCTGTGACAAAGTTGGCATCAAGAAAGGTCCATGGACCCCTGAAGAAGACATCATCTTGGTATCTTACATCCAAGAACATGGTCCTGGAAATTGG